AAATGGGAGGATGTGGTCCCTGCCTGGCGTAAAGTATTTGTATGTATGTTTACTGAGTTATTAAAAAATGTACCAAGACGATGGTTTAACGTGTTACTATTTTCCACAAAGCGCCTTTGTGACAAGCACTTCCCTGTTTTTACTATACGTGCAAGAGACGATTGCACAAGTTGTTTCACGGACCACACTCCCAGTAAACGTCAGCACGTGTCAGCTTGACCTTTAGGGCAACCTTTATCTCGCTTGGAGTGATGAGAGCTGAGAATAGAAGAAACAAGGTCGCCATGGCAGTGACATTACGTAAACTTTCCGCTACATTTGCAAGCCTGTAGATAAATCACTTTTGGTATTGCATTAGCATTTAATAAAAAAGATGTACCTAATGGTATATAGGAAATTTTGCCATTGCTGTTCATTCAGATACAAGAATTTGACATGTATCAAAATATTGATAAGTTCTAACGATTGCTTTAGCTTTTGTTTTGTAGCATTAATTATTGAATTCTTAGCACAAAAAAAACGCTAATTTAAACTTCTTCCATTTTATGGCAGTTTAATTTAAATCTTAAAATTCAATCAGTGCTTGAAGTGCTCTTGACCCAGTACCCCTACCGGTATGGACCAGTGATGTGATGAATACCTAATATTATTTAATATTAGACACAGTAAAAATTATTTTCAAACTTTGACTATGTGCCTTTTTGGAAGTCGGGTAAAGAAGATGGTGAAGTACATACACTAGATATATGCTGGGTTCAAGATCCTTTGTTCATAGGGTATCATTTATTCGTGGACTATATCATCCGTTGGTATATTATTGATGTGTGAATTGAGATATCTGGCATGAGATCGTATTGTTAGCGTGACAACCTTATGGAAATCGCCGCTAATTGAATTGAATTGCGCAATTTGTTCGGGCTATTTGTAGAAGCTGTTTACGAGTAAACACCATTTGTACAAACAAAGCTTGATTTATATACATTGAGTTACATGTTTAATGAACAGTTAAGGGTAAAAAGGACACCAGACTTGGCACCACATGAGATCTCACGAAGTTATGCGGCGAAAGATCTGTGAGATGTGTTTTTTCATATGTAATAAAATAACTGCAACATTAATTTAACTTTGTTAACAATAAAAACTGCTTACATAACAAATAAGCGCGTTTTAATCTCCTTTCTGCATATTCTAGTTTGCAAAATGTTCATTATTTATTTTCGTCATAGCAGCGTAATGTAATTTACTGCAGCCACTATGCAGAGCTTTTAACCGAGAGATGATGTAAACTAGTTACGTAGTGGTAATGCATAACTTTACTTGGATTATGTACGAACCATGCGTTCCACTATACACTACCAATGTAATCAGGACTAGTCAACAGGGTAAAATGAAGTGGTTAATTTATCGTTAATCAATTAATACATTAATGCATAGGAAATCTACCGAACTTTTTAAAAACATTTCTACGTGTGGGTCCTACCTACCTAAGAGTGTCAGAAAGCCATTGAAAGAACAGTAAAAAAGAGAAATGAATAGAAAAGGCTATAAATAGAGTGATGTACAGTCAGTCTATGTCTGAGAAGGTACGAATAGCGGTCAATAATGCTGTGTGGGTTCCAACATTAATGCATGGGAGTGAGTGTTGGGAATGACGCATCAATGCCGTACAAATAAAGTCCTTCAACAAAACGTCGCTATTATGACGGTTAACGAAAGCAATATATACGTAGAACGGTAACGTAGAAAGTAACATACAAGAGTGTTCTAAAAAAGGTTGTCGTGCGTAGTACGAAGAAGAATAAGAGGGCTTGTACGAAAAGATTGATGAATGTAAGTGAAGCGAGAAAGTTTTGTCAGGATCCTGTTAAGTGGAGATCGGTAGTCTCTACTTAGTCCAATAGGAATCCGAGAGCGTCAGTATATGTAAGTATTTTTTTTTTAAATGTTAACCGATAGTAAACCTAAATAAACATGTAGAAAGAGGGAGAAAGCATGAAGCAATGTCGCCACACACTTCTTGTGGTGGAAAGTTTGCCACTCTCTCTTTTTTAAGTACGATAGCGAAGAAAGAGGGGTAAGGAGGAGCCAGAAATTCAGTGAGCATGGGATAAGAGATTGAGCGAAAAAAGTAAAGTCCCGCCGTATATTACGCTCTTGGCTCTAAACTCATAGCTTTTGTTTATTATCGTCACAACACAACACCCAATAATGACGACGCGACTTATGTACTCAATCTTTTTATTATAATTGTTAACGACGACATTAACCGAGATATGTTAAAAGGGAGTGACGACGGAAATTACATTTTTATATCATTTGAAACAAGTGAACTGTGTGAAATACCGGTAATTATAAAAAATCTGTAAAAATACTTACGATACATGTAACATAAACCTTTAAAATTTTATTCAGGTTCAGAAATTTAACCAGTTTCCGTACCCTCAAGTTAGTTTCATTATGACCATTAATCAAATGCAATGGCCGTGTGCATTATGTATCATTAGTAGCATAAAACCAGAAGTAGCTAATAGCTAATAACAAGTGAGTGCACCATCGTATTATGCCACGAACTCAAAATATGATGTACAATACGAACGTAATTATAATTGAGTTTCCTAGAGAGAGAAGCATTTTTTTTTTACAAAAAATACAATTATCTTTTTGGTATGAGTTATTTCTGCCTGATTGCACCCAATTACGACTTTTTTATGATACCACATAACGGGACAAACGAGTCGTGTGCCTGGTGGCAAGCGACATACGTGCGCATAACACTTGCAGTGCCCCTCAGAACTGTACACCGCAAAGGTCTGTGGGGCACTGCCATTGCGCCCATCACCCTGAGACATAGTTGACAAGTCCCAGGCGTCTGTAATCTCACTAGCACCCTTACCCTTTGAAACTGAAACGCATCATCGCTCACATTACTGCTTTGTGGTTGTAAATAAGTAAGGTAAAATGGCAGACATCCCTGGACGAACTCTTTCACAAGAAGCTCTACTGCTTCTACGATTTTACATTCGTAAAACACTGCCCTCAAATGTAAAAGATGCGGAGTCATTTAGTTATTGAAATCTAAATCATAGTATTATAAGAACAAATATGGTAACTCCAGACAAACGTCGCGGAGCGGCTTGTAAGTGTGAGCACACACCGCGCGCCGTGTACGGATGCACACATTTGCATAACCTAGGGATGCGCTAGCCTTGCATAAGAGATCGTCCCAACGCGCTTTTCATTGTTATGCGAATATGTGTTATATAAATTGTATAAATATTTACGAGTACTGCCTGCTGAAATAATAATTTCATGTGTATAATTATAAAAACTAATGTTAAACTGGAAACAGTTCAACTTTCAACTGTTCGTTTGTAACAAACATCTTAATATTTCATTATATTACTGTGTAGCTGTTTTTATATTGTAATTCGTTCTCTAACTTGGACTGGAACATTGTTAATTTGCTGTTTTTAAAGTTGTTACGAAAGTGACAATTATCTAAACGAGAATAAAGTTTCTTTGCATTTAATAAAAGCATTTTGCACACTAAGACTTTTGTTAGCGAATCATGACATTAATTTATTTTATTTTGTTAGAAAACTTACTTTGCGTCATTTAGAATTAGTTTAATCGAAATAAGAAATAAATAGATGTCATTATCATCGATACTATCGATACGATACGATCTGAAAAACATATTTGACGAGAAAGGGCTTGTTTCGTTTTAATTTATAGTGAAAAATCTTAAAATATAATTTGTAACAGTCACTGGAGTTTGATTTCTATGTCTGCTATATAAAGATTATACTTGTTTATTCAATTCTAATAATACAAGTATTCACTGCTTGTAACTTTTATTGTACCCTTTGTTTGTTATTTTTCAAATTTCAACGTCAGCCTATAGTTGCCTATAATTGTAATAACATAGGCAACTATAATAATTTTTATAATTTTGAAGTATGAGTCAAAGCAACGGAATTTACTCCGAAGAGTGTCTATCTAGAACATTCAGGTTAGAATCAATTTAGAAAAGATCATTTACCAAATAGGTCTTACCGGGATTTGAAACCGGGACTTCCTCATTGAGTGCCTGCAGTGTTGGCCATCGAGGTGGTCAATGTATGAAATAAGATCGCGTGATGACATTATTTTGTCTGTCGTGAATTTTGTTCGAATGTAGAACAAATATAATTGTATACGCCCGTTGAGCGAAAAAATGTCCACAACGCGTTGTGGTCTCTTTAAAATATCCATAACACGTTACTCGTGTTACGGCACATATAAAAATAAACCAGAACGCGCTGTGACCTCAGATTTTCTAATGTGAGGCTGTGACTTACTCAAAAAGACCACAATATGAAATTCGCGTTGTGGCCCCATCATATACATATATAAAGCTACAAGTTTAGACTCACTTAGAAAAATAGAAACGCATACTTCCCGATGTGGAGGAAAAAAGATATTTATATCGTTGTACGCGGATAGGCTCCAAGGCAAAGAATCAAATATGAGAAGACCTGAATGTGGAAAATGTAAACGAGTGATCAACGGCCTGTTCAAACAACCCATGGTCACCGTTGACTGTCAACCGAGACCATGGGACCTGTAAAGGGCCCGAAACGTGTCGGTTTGTTTGAAAAAACCAATATACGCGATTTAAATCCGGAAAAATAGTTTCATTTCCTATGTGTAACAATCGCGAAAACCTAAGAACTCGATACTTTTAAGAATTCAAGTTTTTTCTTTTTTTTTTTCTTTTGTGTCTCGTTTTAAAGTAGGAAGTTAAGCCGTTTTGATATCCTTTATTCAAATATTGTGCATAGTTGTGATAAGGAATGCAAATATTTTTTATGTATCTACCTGTTCAGTTATTAGTTTGTGTTCTGTAGCTGTGCCACATAAATAAAAAAGAAAAATGTAATATATTGAAAATGCTAGAATACTATTAAAAACGAATGACATAAAATTATATATTATCATATTCAGAATAATTTACTTACGGAATAATAGAGGGTGGTCTAGGAAGAGAGCCTCCTCGGCTTACAGACGCGATTTGGTCGACATTGTAATTTGGCGGCCAACCCGCGTTATCTTCTATTACCGATCTGTAACAAAAGACCGGTTTAAATAGGTATTTGTTCGGATAGAATTCATATTGTTTTATCTTAAGGAATTAGGATAGTGATACTCTAGTTTGGAGAACGCATTTATTTTAAAGGCGAAGGAAAACATTGTGGTGAAACCTGGATATCGGAGACAGTTTACTTAACTCTTTAAAGATATCGCCACACTTGATGTAATAAGGCCACATCTGCAAAATGACAACTTTTCAGTAGTGAATATTAAGTTTCTACGTATGAAATTATTCGATAACTGTTTTATGTTTGAATGGGAGAGATAACATTTCACATATCGATACCTCCAATGAACCCTTCGCCAACTTAATTAAGGAGCTATTCTGTTTTTGTTTATAATTTTGTTTCCACAACATTGGTTTTTTGATCTTTTTTCAATTTTGTTTTTTGTTTCTTAATTTTTTTTCACAAAATTCGGGGAGCATAATATTAATAAATAAATACAGCCGTTTGCACAGAAAATGACAAAAAAATAAAGTTGGCTTAGTGTTGATTGGAGGTATCGAAATGCATAATTTGCTTCATGTAGTTCGAATTATTTTTATGACTTTCATGTGATAAAAGCATATTTGATTTATGATCACATGTGGCTTTATTATACCTAGAGTAAGAAGTGTATAGGTCTCGATCCGCGTAAGGCTGATTACACACAGCGCCGTAACACAACGGCACCGCCGCGCCGCGCCGTCGCTGCGGCGCCGCAGTTATAGGCACCCTTTTATTTGTTTACACACTTTCATACATGCACCGCGGCGGCGCGACGGCGAACGCTACCGCAATTGTCTACTAATATATGATTTCAGTTGATCACGCCGTGTGGGCTGCTGTCGCGCCGCTAGTGCTGCGGCCCTCTTGCTACCCCGGAGCGGCAAAAAACACCGCTGCCGCACCGTCGCCACGTGTATCAACCTTGCAGCTGCGTAGTGGGCTGTGGCTTAAATTTGTTCGTAGAGAAGCACCCTGCCCGGGAATGTGACTTATATTATGTGATTTAATCATAATGTCAAAAGAAAAACAAGAATTTTGAATAAAGCTTTAAATATGATTGAATGAATTAATACATAAAAACGCTTACTTAACATCCGCATACGTTTATAGTACATTCGCGTAATTTTTTATATTCATAATTAAATAAAAACTTTTTATGTATATATCATAAGGCATTTCATTTTAAATTTCTGAAATTTCATTTATATAAATATTTAATTTAAATCAGAGAACCACGATGACCAAATGTAACGAAAATGATATGATACAGATACTCAAAATATGCAAATACATAAATTTCGTCAAAAACAAGCAAAAATTGAAATTAAAATGTGTGCAAGTACAAATAAAACCTTTTATAACATATTCATGTAACTGTGGCAACTGTAATTCTTATTAATTTGAAAATATAAGTTAATATCCCCTGAAAATTTTTATTCCACATTTCATTGCATTTTTCAGCCGTTACAATCCCGACAAATTCTACTGCAGGTCAAAGGCCCTTCGCCTATCCCCTTCTCTATTCATCGCGATTTAACCTGCTACAGTCCAAGATCTCATATATGCAAACTCGTCACGGCATCTCCTTCTGAGTCTTCCATGTGTTCGTCTTACGTTTGGCGGGTAACACACTGTGGGGATATTTGCCCATAGCTCGTTTAGCATGTGACAGTGTTGTGTTTTGGAGAGCAACTTCCAAGAAATTGCGCTCTAAATATTTAAAAGAGGAATTAGAGGCCAGGTCATGTCGTATAAGCATGACAACTTCATTAAAAACCTGGTAGAAGGGAAGGTAAAAAACGAGGTGAATGAAAACGGCCAAAAATAGTAATATTTTGACTAAAAAGAAAAGTAAAGGATACGTCATTATGAGGTCACGGAAAAAGAGTTCCACAAGACTGAATGGCGTATTACGACACCGTCAGGAGACTAATTTTTTAATGTAAGGACAGATGTTAAATATTCAATATATTTAGAGGGGACCACCGTCACACCTCTACAAGGAGAAGAATGTACTATAGAAAAAATACTCGTACTGCTTCGATCAAGAAAAAATGATATAAGAATAAAGAATGATGTAAGCAAACAATTATTAAATGGTATTTGTACTCATCAATGAAATATTATAAGTACATTAGAATTTAGTAGCAATGGAGCTCCCTGTGAAAGAGTTCGTCCAGTGAAGTACTATCATCTTACCTATTTCTTCCGTCAAGCAGTAATTACATTACTGTGTTTCAGTTTTGAAGGATAAGGGTGCCGGTGAAATTACAGGCACATGGGACTTGTCAACTTAAGTCTCAGGGTAACGGGCGCAGTGGCAGTGTCCATAATATATCTTTGCGATTTAAAGCTCTGAATGCCACTGCAACTGTTGTAGACAGGCGTGTCCCTTACCGCCAGGTGCACGACTTGTTCGTCCCGTCACTTGGTATTATAAAAAACCCATCATGCATTAAAAATACAGTTAATTGCTATAATGTGGTACAGAGAGATAGAAAAACTACGACGGATGAAGAAGAAGAAGATAAACAAAACAGTATCGCACTCGATACAGTTGCAACAATGTCGGAAACCGTTTTGTCCTATTCGGTCAGATTACAAGGTAATAGGACAAATGTAATAAATATATACAAGTATGTACTAATACTTGTTTTACTAATAAATGTAGTTACATTAGCTCTACGTAGGTACTAACAGAATAACAAACAAATATGTAGTTAGGTAGGGTAAAAGGAATATACTATATTTTGCGTGAAATGTTTTGATGTCTAGGATTAACCATTAAAGTCTTATAAGAATTTTAAAGTACACTAAACTTGTTTATCAGCATTTCATATTATTTTAACAATCATTATGCTAAATTCACTACATAGCGTACGATGTATTTACCGAAAACTTGTAAATTTTGATAACGTTTCTCTACCCCCAAAAATGGGGTAAGGGGTCTCGTGTTCCCAAGATCAAATATGTTTCACATTGCGTATATGTCACAATTGTGAAATATGTTTTTTCCGCCTTTTCGATTTTTTACGATGTCCCAAACATCGTAGCGACATCTCTTTAAAATTCTTTCATCTGGATGGATTTAAACCAGCGTTTTCAAGCAATCCGTAGATAATGTCTCAACTGAGAGCTACGGAACAAACCACCAAACCTTACAAATCTTTCTACGTGCTTGTGGCCGATCTTTGTTTTTGGTTGACTTTTTTGCTGTAGCGCCATCTGTGAGAAATCTATTTCTTCACTCAGCCAGGTACTTTTACACCTACCAGCTGCTGACTGGAGATGTCGCTTTGGTAATTGCATTTTAGAAACTTTATTGAACGTCAGTATGTTTTACTACATGATATTCAAGTTTTTTTTTGTGAAATTACTCCACTAGTTGTTATAATTACTGATACAACGATCAACACTATGGGTCGTATTCCAGAACTCGACTCAATGCTCAAATCAGGACTTGAGTGTGATTTAAAGCACTGAAAATCATACTCAAGTCCTTGCCATTAGAGTCGTATTTCCAGTGCTTGAAATCATACTCAAGTCTGCTCAAGTCCCGACTTGAGCATTGAGTAGAGTTCTAGAATACGACCCTAAGAACAATTCCTTTGCCCGGGCTGGATTTGAACCAGTGCTTTCAAGCAACCCGTACTAGACGGCAATTGAGCTACGAAACAAACCACCTGATCTTAAGAATCTTTCTATGTGCCTGATATTTAATAAATTAAAAAAAATATCGTTTAAACTAATTTTTATTTTCTGTTTTATCGACTGAGGTACTGTAGTGCTAAACTCTCTAGATTATAAGTAAGTTTTTCAAGTCCCTCTTGCCCTGGTGTTCATCTTACCCCCACCTGACCCTATTTTTTTTTACTTTCGCGGTGCATAATACTAACATTTCAAAACGGCAATAAACCCTATTATACAATTTAAGAAGTATTCGCACTCGTATCTATTAACCCGCCGTGTTCACGGGTTGACTTAGTCAGGAAATACCTATTAAATTGTTCAATCGCGTTTATTCCCGTTTTGAAATGTATATATAATCTTATTCAATTTAAGTTAATGTGTATTTTGTAACTCTTCAGAGTTACACTTCGCACTTCAGTTCGGAATAAATAATTTGAATTTGAACGAGCTACATCGTTGCGATCATCTCGAATGTTACAAAAAGTTGTTAAAGTGAACGATGTGGAATAAATATCAAAAACAAAAATATAAAGAAAGCAAGGAATTCGCGACAGTTATTATTACTAGATCACACAATAATAGATGTTATCATTACAAATAGACCTATGTAACAACATGGCTTGAGTCCGTAACATTGTGCCTTTTGCTGCAGAAGTTCTGTGTCCCTGGGGGCTACATCCCCAGGGACACAGAACTGCTAACGAGCTTACGTTTCGCCTCGTTGAAATATCCATTGCCTAAATCTACATCAATTTATATCCACCAAAAAATAAGTTTTAAAATAAGTTTCAAAAAAATACAGTAAAATCTTTTATCATTTTATCTTCCACATCAAACAATTAATTTAATGTTATAATTCGTTAAATACGGTTTTGAATACCTTTGTAACACGTTATGTAGTTTCGTCCTCTAGACTGAAGTCTAGACATCACATGGGCTTTGACCTGTCTAACCCCTATTGAGACGTGAAAAATATTTGACAGTTACATTGCTATATTACTAAGTTTGTTTAAGTTGGATGATTAATTATTATTCCTAGAGTTTATCACGACATGGATATGGATATATTTAATCCTGGGTTTGATTTTGATGCCCATTAGAAGTATTTTCGAATTATGTATAGTTCCCTACACTAATAACCCTCACACTTATAGTCCCGTACTAGGGAAACCCTGTATCGCGGGTGCCATAGACAAACTCTAACTAACTCACTCAACTCGAACACAACGAAACTCATGAGAGAAATAAATGTACAATTATATTTTATAATTTATTTTAAAGTCCATACAAAAATTCCTCCCGGCCCGGGAATCAAACCCGAGACCTCGGCGTCGCAGTCTAGCATGCTAACCGTTCGGCCACGGAGGCAGTTAAACGTCACTAATCAGTTCACTACACTGTAATAGCTATCAAGTGTGTACTGACGATATGTTGGCAGATATTTTAACAAAACTTTTATGCATTGAAAAATATCAATGTTTTGTAAGAGACAATATGCTTAGAACTCAATAGTATGGTTATATATACTCAATAGTATTTAATTGACCATCATAACATACATATAGTTTAAAAGGTGATTATTTACTATCTGCTGTTTGTATAATAATGATATCTGTGTCTTTGGCATGTAAAGCCAATTACAAGCTGTATTTGCTTGAACGTTGCACCTATGTGGTGGATTATGGCTTAAAACACGTAAGGCCCGTGGCCCAGTAATAAACAGATAATGATAACGAGATTATATAAGTTGTAGTAGTCATCTTAAAATATATAGCAGTAATAATACACAAACATTATACACTTAGAAAATATTCCTTCGATCCGGCCGATTCTTAGATTTCTCAAAGATGCTCGCTATGGCTATAAAGTCGTTAAAAACCAAATACAAAGATCCGATAACAAGCACTTAGAAAAATTCGTGAGGTCGGCTGGTTCGTTCCATGGCTTAGTTGGCGTAGCGTCTGGCACGGTTTGCTAGGGGACATCTCGGTGCGAATCCGGCCGGATCGAAGAAATTTTTTTTAAGTATTCTATCTCTGTATTAATAATTATAACAAAGTAGTCGAGTAATTTCACAAAAAATAATTGAATAGCAGGGTGGTAAATAATTCTGACATTCAATAAGAAATTATATAGCAGTAGTTCTCATTGCGAATTCAATGCCTTTAAATTGTACCTATGGTTGGAAGTGAAATTTTGCTGATCGTGATTCTATAGCAAACGCGTTTAGAAAAGTTTATTATTGTTAGAAAACAAACAAGACAAAACAACCTAACAACAGGAAAAGTAATAAGGCATATATTTCCCAGACATAGAAAAGGGAGTTACTCCAGGACAATTTATGCGTACCCGCGACATCGTGTCTAGTTCAAGGGTATTTGGCTATGGAAACGTATACAAATGACGTAAACTTATGTGATATAATTATGCCAATGGATCAGATCAATTTCGATACTCTGTTCTCAAATGATAAAGTCAGAGGTTTATGATACATAATACATTCACTTTCACTAAAGTTAAGACGATAGTTAATTTTTTCGTATTATAATAATAATAATAAAAAATGTTATACAGATGTACTCAGTATGAGCTAAATTTTATTGTGAAAAAGACACCAATATTTAAAGATTATTTGTTAACAATCCACGACAACAAACTCAAACGAAAGCCAAACTAGGCTACAAATAAAAAAAAACAAGTCAGAAGAGAGAGAGACAGAAGTGGAGTGTCCGCGATTGGTCAAGTACCGTTTATTTTTTAACCAATCAGGAAACAGTAGAGCGTTTAAAATCGCCTCATATGTGATATTTTAAATTTATCTCAAATAGTTCCTTTTTGTTAAATGATTACGCCTTTGTACCTGTTATGTAACATTTCGAAATATTATTTAATAATATGATTTTGAATTTTAATAATTATACAGAAATGGTGACGTTATTCTGTTCGGGATCACAGTGACACGTTTAAGGAGACTATATAATATATCAAAAGTACTACGTTCTTTTTTTGAGATTCATCATATACTGTACACAGAACTTCAATGAAATTTTTCTAGTACCATAGACAATAGAACTTTGATTCAGAACTAATGATTAAGATTAAGATTAATTATTACTTTGATTAAGAGCTTTGTGATTTGGTTTATTAAATTATAATTCATAGATTAATGCAGGAGTAGAAACAAGACATCTCGGTGGCATTGATATTCTATTATATCAGCAACAATTTAGACAGATAATTGTAGAAACATTGGATCAAACGACCACACTAAGCCGGAAAGACATAACTATGTCACCGGGCTGCCTATGCCTTATGTGATTTAGCCTGCTTTGAGTCTGTATTGACAGAATAGCTTGGATCGTGCTGTAGTATCTCATAGTATGTTTGTTGTGACCGTCAGTATGTCAATACGGACGGGTATAAGGAAAGGGAAATGAGAAAACTTACATAACACGTGATGGTAGAAAATGCCCGAAAAATACAATTTAAATATTCGCTGTTTACAATAATATTGTTGTTTGCGTTAGCTATATACTACTGTGTGGAAAAAAACAACAATAAAAAAGTGTAATATAAATTGTTTGTTGACCACGGTTACAATAATCATTGCTAAGGTTGTTTGGCCTTGAGTATCAACTAAAATATGGTCGGTTCTCTTTATAAGCCTTTATAAAGCGCCATAATACCCACAGTTTTAGGGTTGAATTCACGAGATCCTCTCGGAAACCTCTGTAACCACTCGTAGGTTACCCAGACCTCATTTAGGGAGCCGTATTTGGAATAATCCATTAAACTTTTCGCATCATGTACCTTTTGTTTTCTTTCAACGTATTAATTAATATACTATTCTATAATCTAGTTACTTACTTTGAAATGGTTTCTTCTTGAGTACCTGTGAAGGAACGTTATAGAGATACATAGATAGAAGCTGTAAAAAAACAATAAATAGATATTATTTATTTAAATATATGTACAAGTGATATGCTCGGGTTCACTGTGCAATATTTTCATTTTCCCTCAATCTGAATGCACTCTATAACATTCATTCTCAAGTCAAGACTGAATATTCGTGACTACGCATTATTTTAATCGCACGAGCATCAAGTCACAAAAAACAGGAATGTTTTTTCTCTATGGCGATGAAAATTTAGCTACTTCACCGCCATATTTCGAGCGAGTATGAAGAGGGGTCTGAGTGTCTTTATTAAGGACTACAAAAATGAAATTTTTCGAGTGAAAAGAAAAATATCTTTGCCAATTTAGTAATTTGTTAGCAGTGTAAAACAATTTCTTGCTCAAAATTATAATTTAGTAAAAGATTTTAATTTATAGTATACATTTTTCTCAAAATTTTAATTTCGATGAAATAGACGACGTAAGATAAAGAATCTTCCATTATTGCTTATACGAAGAATAATATTGGTCAATGAAGGCTAAATTTAAAAGGTCGAGGTACCAGATGAAATGGAGTTTATTGTTCTTTTTACTTCAGTAAACGTATGAGATCGATATGCGGATACCAATTTCTACCACATTAATAGTAATGTTCTACTTACTGCGGCCATTCCATCCGGGTGAAGTCTTCATCCTCTGGCATCCAAGTGTAACGTTTGGGGTCAGGTTGGCTGCACACAGAGCGTGGTCGTCGACGAAAGTACGAGCACTCCAGATCGGCGTCATAGGCATAAAGCTCGGGTGGAGCCGGGGTGGGTTGGCCACACCTGGTTACAGAACAAAATGGTTTTTTTTTCATATCGATTCTTTACTTATTTTTGAAAGTATTGTATCTTATAAAGAGTGATTATTCAGTAGATGGCAAAACTTCATTTTTTTTTTAAATTTTTTTATCAAGGGTGTTAATTTGGTTGCATTATTTTAAGAATAAGTAAACGCCAGTGCGTGAATATGAAGGAAATGTGATGTGAAATCAGCCTGCAAAATTTGTATATACAATCCATTTTTTGCATTACAGTAACTTTGTGCTTTAAGATACAAGTTTGAGTAAGTAAGGCGACGATTTGTTTCATACAAAAGGCATAACTGCGAAAGAAAATCTGTGCAAGATTACACTAACAATTACAAAACTAAAGTATACCTAATACACTTATTAAAACTTAATGTAAACTTTGACTACATTTACAAGCTTTCAAGAACTTAATTTTTTTCTTTAAAGTAAATTTTTATAACAATTCTCTGTCTCTCAAAAAATCTGATTTGTTAATAAGTTAGACATGGCATGGCTATTAGTTATTTTACCAGAATAGTTGTTTACTTTTAACCGACTTCAAAAAAAAGGAGTAGGTTCTCAATTCGACTGTTATTTTTTGTTGTATGTTGCGCGATAATGCTGGCGTTTGTGCACCGATTTTGATGATTCTTTTATTGGAAAGAGGTTACCTCAATAGCGGTCCCATTCTAATTTGAAGAAAATATTCCATTTTAAGGGTGGCAAACTAGAGGGTGAATGACTTTTGAGATCGATTTTTTTTTTGTATTCATTATAGACATACATAATTATTTTCACGGGCTCGCCTAGTGTTATATTTGTTCGTTACTTTAGTTACTTTAGTTAAATTCAGTTTTGCAATAGTTTTCAGTAGCAGCTATATACTTAACTTTTGCCTTATCAGGAAATATTTTACAGTACGCATACATCGTTACGCTAGCGAAATATAGATTATGACAATTAATATTTCATTAGGTATAAAACCATGAATTATAAATGGGAAACCAAAATGGAGAAAAATCGGTTTGTCTTTTTACTATTCAATAACATTATTTTGTAAACTTTTTAGTTATGTCGGAGAAATAAGAATCATGTACTTTAGTCTCTCTTACAACTGTACTTGATTTCATAACTTACTTAATATTTTAAAAATGTATTTACAGGGTTTTTACGTCATACAGCAAAGAATCTGAGCTTCGAAAATACGTCATCAAAATATATTTTGGAAATAAACGATACACATTGAGTACGTTTTAATTTTATATCGCGGTACAGGCGCGGCAGTCGGCGTCATATTTCCGACTGAATTTGCGACAACACTGCGACGGGGCGTCGCGTCGTTGTCGCACATTATGAAAATATTAAACCTTATGAGATTGAACTAAACTGAATTGAATACTGTGATAGAGTATTCTTTAATAATGTCCTCTAAAAGGCTTATGGGGTTAGTGAGTATAAGGTTGAAAGTCTCTTTTTAACCGATGTCAGAAAAAGGAGGAAGTTCTCATTTCTATTTTTTTGTGTGTGTATGTTACGCAACAACTCCGACATTTGTGAACCGATTTTAATGATTCTTTTTTGAAAAGAGTACCTCAGTAGTGGTCCCATTAAAATTTGAAGATGAGAGAAGAAAATATTCCACCTCTAAGGGTGGCAAACTAGAGGATGAATCCGGTTACGCACACTTTCCGGTAACCGTTTCCACAAAACTTGGCAAATAGATGTAATACAAATGTTTGTTTTTATAAAAAGTTAGAATTATTTTTACAAAAAATAAGTGCGCAATTCAAGTCGTACTTGATGAAAAATGACTATAAAGTAGACGATAAAATACGTGCGCATTTGAAGTCTATCTCACCTAACGAATAATGCCTATTCACTCTCGTGTTGAAAAGGTCCAAGTTGTATCGTAAAAGGAATAAGTCTGCAGGCGAGATATTCCACTACATAGGCGTTCGCCATAATAACTACTCTATTTTCACATACGTTGCTCTGATGCCAAAGTAAGTAACTATTATAGCACTTGTGTTATAGAAATTGAAAACAACGACGGTACAACAAACACCCAGACCTGAGACAATAAAGAAACTTAAATTTTCTACCCCGGCGGGAATCGAACTGGGGACCTCACAGATGGCGAGACTATGAAAACTGGCGTGCAAGCCATTCGACCACGGAGGCTGTCAATATAAAATGTGGAAGTGGAAATGTGGAATTTATAAGTCAATTTACAGTTGGTCATTCATTGGTCATCTACTGAATGGCGTATGTATGATGTATTTGACTCAAAATGTTTTATTGCTCCGATCACATTACATAAGTCTTCGTTTTATCTACAACTCAATTAACAACGCTGTAGGGCTGGCACGACAGGGCGCGACTTGCGCGAGAGCGATATTTTAGTAGCAGTGGAGCTCCTTGTGAAGAGCTCGTCCAGGAAAGTACTGCCACCTTACCTACTTCTGCCGCCAAGCAGTAATGTGAGCTGCGTTCCGGTTTACAAGGGTAAGGGTGCTGGTGAAATCACAGGCTCATGGGACTTGTCAACGTACCTCTCAGGGTGACGGACGCAATGGCAGTGCCCATAATGGTCTCTGCGATTTAATGGCATTGCAACTGTTATGGATAGGCGTGTTGCTTACCACCAGGTACACAACTAGTTCGTCCCGTCACTTGGTATTATAAACAGTCGGGCAAGTCACGGGCCTACTATATTAATAGCTGAAATCAGGATAAGTGATGCCCTTTCCAGCAAAGTCAAAGTTAAATAATCATTTATGCCAAAGGTGCAATTTTTCACTTCAAAACGTCCTTTTTTAAGATACTGCTTGTTCACTGTGCCGGCTTCCCTGAGAAGAACGAACAAGGAACCCTAGGGATTGCTCTTTTCAAATACACTTAAATTTACGCTTATAAATAAAATATGAAAAAACTAAGATTGTAACGTCATAAGCAAATATTCCCGTTTCTTACTAGCTTTACATTTCTAAGAGCTGTTTTACTTTTCAATTCCAATATATTTATTATTAAAATATCTAATGTATTTCCTGAATAAAACGAAATAACTCTACTGATTTCTTTCTAACTATTACTTAAGCATTCATTTAATAATTTCTAAGTAAATTGGCAGTTCTATCTTAGTTTGTTTGAATTTGAATAATGGAGAAGTTAGTCAATATTGGCGAAGTGACCGATTTTAGGTTCCGGTATCATGGGAGTTACGTTCTCCGGCAGGCAATCACATAGTTTGCAATTAATTTTGAAATCAATACTGAATTACAAGCTCAGATGGAGCCTTAACAAACCACAACCACAAATCTATTTTCAAAGTCTAAGCTTTGAGAGCTATTCGAGTTTTACCGAAGTTATTGATTCAGTACGCTACTATAATATTAAAAAAAGCATGCTTAAATCAAAATTAATAAGGTTGATATTCGTTTAAGGCTAAGCAATGCTCTTCTATAATTGAATTGTCGGATATTTTTCACAAAAAATCATAGCCATGCGTAACTAATCAATTAAATATTATCCTTAGCGGTTTGAATATAAGGTTTGATATTCGGTTAAGGTTAAGCAGTAGTATTTTTTTTTGAATTATTGGATATTTTTTTGGAAAAAATGTTCGTGCTATCGAAACATCGTAACAGTACTACACTAATAAATGAAATGATATCCTTAATCCTTTACACATAAGGTTAATTTTTGAAGTGACATTTTACCAGATTAAACAGATTCAATAATTAGATTTGCTTCATTGTGTGAAGTTAAATAACTCCGAAAATTCGATTTTAGAAAATGGTACCATTTTCTAAAATCGAATTTTCGGAGTTATGCACTGTTCAATATTTATATCGATATGAAACAATATTAGGAATCCAGGAGTTTTCTCTAGTTAGAGTTCATACTTACATAATAAAAACAAAACGAGCAAGTTTAAATAACGATGACAGATCTGGATTCGGCCGATTATATATAATATTACTTCTAAAATCGAATACCAATATTATTACATAGGAAAAGAGACTTTATATTAATAAGAATATAATAATGTTGCATTAGTTGAAATTTCCCAACTTACCTGGGATAACGCTGTATGGGCGCATAATTGGTGTTAAGATTTTCATCCGATGGCACACGCCTCCTGACGCACACGGACAGAAATGATGTTCTGCGAACAAACAAAATATTTCTGAGTACCACTAAAAGACTTAGACCATGTTAGACTATGAAAACCTAGCAGCGCAGTTTCTACATTTGGTCGCCCGCCGCACGCCGTGCACTGACACGCACATATCCGCATAATTTCGCGGGTAGGTTGAAGCGTTCGCTCGGTGTTTCAAATACATATTTTTTTATGTATATTAACTTTATTAAACTTACTACAATATTAAATAATAATAACGCACACACTCAACATAGCCCTGCACTAGAGAAACTCTGTGTCGCGGGTTCCATGGACATACATATAGACAACCACAAATTACACCCAAACTCACGAGAGAAATAAATGTAGGTCATACAAATATTTCTCCTGGCCCGGGAATCAAACCTGGAACCTCTGCGTGGCAGTCCGGCATGGTAACCGTTCGGCCACGGAGGCTGTAAATGTCGCAGCCGTATTGTTTAAAGCGCGTTTCGGCTAGCCGCTACGGCGCTGATTTCTAATACGGCTTCCTCGTGTTTGGCCGGATTGCAATTCGCCTAAAAAAAGTACGCTGCATTGTAATAGCACGTGACGTTTCACAAAGCATCTTAGAATGTGCCGCCGGAATACAATAGGGCGCTTCATTGCTACGCTGCTTTGAAATACTTCTGAAAGCATGTTCGGCGTTTGCAAACAAATTCGCTTTTGGCACTCGCCAGCCGCTGCCGCGACATGCTCATGCATTTCTTTTCTATTAAACCGCAATGGAATCCAGTGTGTAACAATAATAATTTTGTTGCAACGAAGATTCAGCGTTGTAAACTGTATTTTTTTTATAACATCAAGTTTATCTAGAACTGTATAATGGAAAACAGGCAATAGTCCTTCCCACCTTTCAGCTTTTAAATTACACTCTAGGATCAAAAATACAAGTACCACGGCCACGATATTTTCCCTGTGAACAATACGGCTAAACGTTGGCTACCGCTTCCTAAAACTTACCGTGATCACAATCCGGCTGAACACGGGGTAGCCGTATTAGAAAACAGCGCCGTTTTGAAAAACAGCGCTGCCATAATGTAAAGCAGCACTTTAAACTATACGGCTGCGACATACATGTATACAAACTCGCATTTCGTTTCTTTTTCTTGCCCGTATTCTCATCAACTTTTGTTTTAATATATTCAAAGAACCAAAATGAGAAGAGTATTTGCGATTCTCGACACATTGCATTTAAATTTGATACATACACATTATTTTCCACGCTTTATATTTTTACTACGGAGTATAATAGACCCACATAAAAATAAAGTGTTTTATGAAAAAATAAACCTATTTTTGCGGTTTACGATGGATTACGTAGAAGGAGTGGATATATTATAAACAACAATTGTGGGCTTTATTCATCAATCATAATCAGAAGATTTTTAATTTTCGGGTTTGAGACGGCTTCACAATTTGTTTCGGAACAATTTTGGTATGTTTGTTTTTATGATATAAGTTTTTATATTGCTTTATCGACGTACAAATCTACTGACCAAATTTCATCACTTAGTACCCACAGCAGTGCTCGTTCATCCAAAACATGTTTTGATCACTTTAAAATAAAATATGCATGAAATTTCCTGTTATAATGTTTCCACGTAAATTGGTCGAACTTGGCAAATCCAATAGCACGTGACGTTTATTATCTACGTACGGTTCGGATGGCATTACTGAATTTGATCGAGCAGAATTTTGTTCGATGGAGTGTACAAAACAGTTTCGGGTAAATTCTAGTTCAAGAGATTTCTCATAGAATAAATACATTGTGTAGTATATTATGTATATTTATGTCTCGCATAGAACGTTTCTTTTTTTCTATTTTTCAGTTAAACGCGGCTTAGTAGCAGTAAAGCTCCTTGTGAAAGGTTCGTCCAGGAAAGTAGTGCCACCTTACCTACTCGTATTTCTGCCGTCAAGCAGAAATGTGAGCAATACTGCGTTCCGGTTTTGAAGGGTAAGGGTGCTTAGTGAAGTTACAGGCACATGGAACTTGTCACCTTATGTGTCAGGGTGACGAGCACGGTGGCAGTGCCCCTCACATCTTTGTGATTTAGAGCTCTGAGTGGTACTGCAACTGTCATGGACAGGCGCATCGCTTGCCAAAAACGCATGTTCTACTGTAAATATAATTAACGAAAATATCGTTATTCCTCTAATATATATCGTTAATCCTCTATTTGATACGATGACGTCATACAAATTGGATCGAAAGAAAAGGGGAAGGTAAATGTGGACAACCGGGAATTAAGTTATTTCCCCCAACTCGATAGAAAAGTAAAATCTTCGTCGTACAAGGCAGATAAAGGTAAAGCTGGGGACTGAATGTATTTGGCAACACCGACAAGAACTCTTGAAATCTAACAGTGACTTTTTTTTTCATTTTATAATATCAAGTGTTGGGATGAACAAGTCGTGCGCGTAGTGCAAGGGCCTATCCATAAAGGTTAAAGTGCCTTTAAACTGCCTCCGAGGCCGAACGGAAGCATACTGGTCTGTCATGCAGAGGTCCAGGATTCGATTCCCGGGCCGGAAGAAATTTGTATACGGTTCACATTTATTTCGCTCGTGAGTTCGAGGTGCAATTTGTGGTTCTCTATGAGTGTGCCAGTTATTTATTTGATTTTTCACCGACTTCAATAAAAGGAGGAGGTTACCAAATCGTCTGTATGTGTTTTCGTATGTGTTACGAGATAACTCATTTGTACGGCACTTGTGAACCGATTTTGATGATTTTTTTTTGTTGGAAAGAAGGTAACTCGGTAGTGGTCTCATTTAAATTGGAAGAAAATATTCCACCTCTAATGGTGGCAAACTAGAGCACTTTCCGCTGATTTCAATAAAACTTGGCAAATCATTGTAATTCCACGAACATTTGAGGTCGGTTTTTTAGTATACTGGTTATAAAAAATCGAGACTTAATGAAAAGAATGTGAATTTCCTGTGTCACCCTAAGACAAATTTGACAAGTCCCGAACCAGTTTCACCAGCACTCCGCCTAACGCAATAATGATTGGCGGCAGAAATGGGTTTGGTGGCAGAATTGCCCTCTACGGCAACTAAATTAAATTCCTGCCAATTACGTCACTCGAAATATTGATTGACCATTGAGGTAATGACGCATAAACCTTATCAAAACATCGATGTCGATAATTTACTGCAAAGAAAATTATCTATAGCTCTTTAATTAAAAGACTTTACAACATTCCTCGCATTTTTCTTAAAGAAAGTTCAGAAAGCGGGAAGTCTTACGAAACAATTTCACTAATTCGTTGGTACAGATGATCAGAGCATTATCTCAACAACACAGATTTTTCAGGAGAGCTATTTTAAAGGTTCTTCTAGCATAATTTCAGCCGCTATTGTTATTTGGTTCTCCTCACCTATATGTATTTAAAACCTACACGTTTAACAATATTTTCGAATACTTCTTATTCTTATTCAATTTCGTAGTTTTGACAAAATCCGGATATTGTTCATAGAGATCTTTAAGATTACTAATTATTTTGAACATAAATTATTTCTGATTCAAAGTTTTAACTAAACTATTCATGCTTAATACTTTTAAATGATGAAAGGAAAATATTCCATTCGATAAAACTTTGAGGAACATAGTAGTATCTCAAAAAATGACTCTATAATATAGATTACCATGACAATTCAATGAAAAAAATATTTCAAAAAAGGTATTCCTTGAAATAATCGTCTTTGTTTTAGAAATACATATTTTTAAAATATACTTACCTTGTAATGAACGCATGCTATGTTATAGTTTTAACACCTCGTTCAACGAACGATGACGTTTTGACGACTACAGCTTCGTATGCAATACGGAATACGACTATGTTACTATGTATATTTGGAGCCAAAACGTTCAAAAAGTTCAGAGATACACTGCCTCCCGCGCCATTTTACGTTCGATCATTATAAGACATTGTTCATTTGAAAGATCTCAATTCTTTTAATAGAAGTTCTTATTTTTCAATGCCACGATTATAGCACGCACGTACAAAAGATTTAATTTTGTGTTCCGGAAAGTTACTTCGATATTTTATCTATTCTTTTCTTATTCTTTCCACTGAGGTAGGTACTATTCGAGTGATGTATTGCTCGAACTTCTGTGCAGGAATTGGTTCAAGTTACCTGATGAATAAGGTGTCGTAAATATTAGACTTTGTTTCCTTCTAATAACGCACATACTGATTTTCTTGTAAACTAGTAGATTGCTGACCACGTACGGACATGAAATACGACGCAAAGAAAAATATGTTCCTTTTTGCTTTTGTAACAACAAAAACAAAAGGTCTGTATGTGTACATTAATTAAATTATTTTGCTCATATAAATAAATGAATATACATTTTTTTTTGTAAATTTTTAATGTATTATCATTCAAATAAATGAACCGAAGACAAACTGAGAGATATCAATTATATAACTTGTTTATAAAAAAACCTGACCTCATAAATTTGTGGAATTACATCTCTTTGCTAGTTTTGTTGAAATCGGTTAACGGAAAGCGGGTGAAATACAATTCATCTCCTGAATATGTTATTCAAATTTGAATTTTATTTAGAAGAAGAACCATAAACAAGTCGTGCGTCTTTTGGTAAGCGCCTATCGATAACAGAGTGCCACTGCAAACTCAGAGCTTTAAATCGTAAAGGTCTGAAGGGCACTGCTACTGCGGCCGTTACCCTGAAATATAAGTTGGCAAGTCCCATGTGCCTCTAATTTCACCAGCACCCTTACCTTTCAAAACCGGAACACAGTAATACTGACATTACTGCTTGGCGGCTTGCTTCCTTGGACGAACTTTTTCACAAGGAGCTCTACTACTACCACTAACTTTCCAACAAAAAAATAATCATTGAAATCGGTACACAAATATCCCAGAACCCGCGTAACATACGCACAAAAAATACAGTCGAATCAAAAGACGGAATCGTTCCGTCGAAGGACGGAATCGTTGTTCTCCCAATT